TGGGGGCACTGTCATACAGTGGTTAATCTCCTTCCTCCTGGGCCATGTCCAGAAAGTGGTGGGGGGGATGAGTCTTCAGACCTTTGGGCTCTCACTTGTGGGGTGCCTCAGGGTTCTGTCCTCTCCCCCTTGCTTTTTAACATATATATGAAGCCACTGGGAGGGATCATCAGGGGGTTTGGGCTGGGTGTTCATCAGTATGCGGATGATACCCAGCTCTACCTCTCTTTTGAATCAGAACATGTGAAGGCGGAGAAGGTCCTGTGTGAGTGTCTGGAGATGGTTGGTTGGTGGATGGATGGACAGGGGCTAAGAGATTGAGGTTGAATCCTGACAAGATAGAAGTACTCTTTTGGCGGGCAGGTGTGGGGGACTCCCTGGTTTTGAATGGGGCAACTGTGCCCCTGAAGGACCAGGTGCGCAGCCTGGGAGTCATTTTGGACTCACAGCTGTCCATGGAGGCACAGGTCAATTCTGTGTCCAGGGCAGCTGTCTACCAGCTCCATCTGGTATGGAGGCTGAGACCCTACCTGCCCGCAGACTGCCTCACCAGAATGGTGCATGCTCTGCTCATCTCCCGCTTGGACTACTGCCATGCGCTCTACGTGGGGCTACCTTTGAAGGTGACCCGGAAACTACAACTAATCCAGAATGTAGCAGCTAGACTGGTGATTGGTGACTGGGAGTGGCCTCCGTGACCACATAACACCAATCCAGAAAGACCTACATTGGCTACCAGTACATTTCCGGGCACAATTCAAAGATTTGCTGCTAACCTTGAAAGCCGTAAACGGCCTCATCCCAGTAGTCCTGAAGGAGCATCTCCACCCCCATCGTTCTGTCGGGACACTGAGGTCCAGCACCAAGGGCCTTCTGGCGGTTCCCTCATTGTGAGAAGTGAGGTGGCACCCGCCCTATGGAACGCCCTCCCGTCAGATGTCAAGGAAATAAACAACTATCTGACTTTTAGAATACATCTGAAGGCAGCCCTGTTGAGGGAAGTTTTAAATGTTTGATGTTTCATACTGTTTTTTGTATTCTATTGGGAGACACCCAGAGTGGGTGGAGTATAAATATTATTATTATTATTATTATTATTATTATTATTATTATTATTACCAGGGCTGGACTGCATAACAGCCCAAACCATGAGGTATCTGGAGGAGGAGGAGGAGGAGGGAGAAGGAGACGAAGGAGAAGATGAGGAGGAGGAGGGGAAGCAGCCTCTAGCTCTCCTAGAAAGAAGATTGCAATGCAGAATGTGGAGGCAACTGAAGGGATTTCTGGGAGATGAGTCAGCCTGGTTCCTCCTGCCATCCAGTCAATGCATGAAATCAGAACTGACTGACAAGGGAGTCATTTCTATCTTGTGGGAAATGGATGCTTGGCTCTAGTGGGGGTCCTCAATCGGGGGTCCTCAGGAGTTGCTCTCCCCCCACCCCCACTCCCCTGCTTCTGTCTCCTGGGATGCCCTGCTCTGGGTGCGAGGGGATTGCTGCAGTGGCCTCCGTGGGGAGCTGCCCTGGGAGACACTGGGAAACTGGTCCCCAATGCAGCAGCCAGACTCTGGGCTGGGATCCCTCTCTTTATTCCTGGCCTTTCTCTCCCATCTTTCATTCCTCCCTCCCCGTGTTTTTTTTGGGGGGTGGGGGGGTGTCTAGTCCACCTCCTCGTCCAGCTTTGGAAAACCATTTGCAGATGTTTCCTCTGTTGTGCAATGGGACTCCTTTGTTTGAAGAAGGGAGATTTTTTCTGAAAGGGGGGGGCGAAAGGCTAAATGAGTTTGGGATCCTCTGATCTGCAGGAAGGAGAGCGTGGCAGACCTGGCCCCTCCCTGGCAGGACCCTCTCCCCCCCCCCCCGACTTGGGGTCCCCCCCAGGCCCCCTCCCCTGCTGCAGCCCTGGGACCCCCACCAGATCCCAGAGAGAGAGGAGACTCACCAGATCCCAGGAGGGGAGAGCGAGGCAGCCCTTGCAGGAGAAACACCCAAGCAGGGAAGGACTGGGGAGGGAGGGGCCTTGGCTCTGGAGGACCTGCCCCCCCCGTCCGCTTCCTGGCCTCTCTAGGAAGGCAGCTCGGTGCCCTTTAACCCTTGCAGGGCCGAGTCCCCCAGCTCAGCCCCGAAGAGATCCCGGCTCGCGAAGGGTCTCTCTAATCCATCGCTGCAGCGCAGAAAGGGGGGGGGGGAGTGGAGGGCTTGGCCAAAGAGGGGAGCAGCTTGGGGGGGAGTGGGGAGCCTGTGCAACTGCCTCCCCCCCTCCACTCCCCCCCGGCTGGACCAGAGCAGCTTCTTTGGGGGGACGCGCCCCCCTCCCCCCCCCACAGAGACAGACATATTCAAGGAACCGTTTAAAGCCGATTTTGCGGGAGTGGGGCGCCTATGCCCCTGGGGGGGACTTCCTCGCCCCCCCCCCGCTAGATACGGCCCTGATCCCAGGGTCATCTAGTCCCACCCCAGCAAGGCAGGAATCTCAGCTAAAGCATCCATGGCAGATGGCCCGTCCGATCTCTGCTGAGAAACCTCCAAGGAAGGAGAGTCCCCCACCTCCCAAGGGAGACCTTTCCCTGCCCAACTGGCTCTTAGGGTACCAAGAAAAGTTCAAAATAAATGATGCTGGTGATGATGATTGATGATAGATAATTTATTTTAATAATAATAATAATAATTTATTTAATAAGAATAATAATAATCAGATAGTTGTTTATTCCGTGACATCTGATGGGAGGGTGTTCCACGGCCACGGGTGCCACTACCTGAGAAGGCCCTCTGCCTGGTTCCTTGTAACTTGGCTTCTCGCAGTGCAGAACTGCCAGAAGGCCCTCAGTGCTGGACCTCAGTGTCCAGGCAGAACGATGGGGGGAGGGGGGAGACGCTCCTTCAGGTCTACTGGGCCAAAGCAGTTTAGGGCTTTCAAGGTCAGCACCAACACTTTGAATAGTGCTCAGAAACGTAATGGGAACCAATGTAGGTCTTTCAAGACTGATGTTATGTGGTCTCGGTGGCCGCTCCCAGTCAGCAGTCTGGCTCCCACATTCTGGATTAGTTGTAGTTTCCAGGTCACCTTCAAAGGTAGCCCTGTCCACCCCCCAAAACAGTCCTTCTGTCTTGTCAGGATTCAACCTGAATGCATTAGCTGCCATCCATCCTCCAACTGCCTCCAGGCACTCACACATGACCTTCACCGCCTTCACTGGTTCCCAATTGAAAGAGATCTGCATACTGATGGACACCCAGCCCAAACCCCCTGATGATCTCTCCCAGCGGCTGCATGTAGATGTTGAAAAGCAGGGGGCCGGTCCACTGTCCCTCAGACCTTGGGGGGGGGGGACGGACAATATTAGCGGGGGTGGAGAACGAATTCCTATACCCCACAAATAACCCAGAGATGCATTTTAAATTAAAGCACACATTTTTCTCATGTAAAAACACACTGATTCCTGAGCTGTCAGCGGGCCGGATTTAGAAGGCAATTGGGTCGGATCCAGCTCCTAGGCTTTAGTTTGCCTTCCCATGATCTAGATCCCAAACTCATTTGACCCTCCGCCCCCCCCTTCAGAAATGATCTCCCTTCTTCAGACAAAGGAGTCCCTGGGACTTTAACTCGGTGTGACGTCTCTCAGCATCACTGCACAACAGAGGAAACATCTGCAAATGGTTTTCCAAAGCTGGACGAGGAGGTGGACTAGACCCCCCCCCAAAAAAAAAAACCACGGGGAGGAAGGAAGGAAAGGTTGGAGAGAAAGGCCAGGAATAAGGAGAGGGATCCCAGCCCATAGTCTGGCTGCTGCATTGGGGACCAGTTTTTCAGTGTCTCCCAGGGCAGCTCCCCACGGAGGCCACTGCAGCAATCCCCTCGCACCCAGAGCAGGGCATCCCAGGACCACATCCTCTCTCTCCCAAAGGGATTGTTGCTGGCAAAGCAGCCAGAAATGGGCGCTGCTACTCCCTGAGCCTCCAGGGACCTGGGCATCAATGGCTGTGCGTATGTTAAGCCATCTAAGAGAATAATAATGTCCAGATACATTCCTGGCCCTCAGAGCAAAGAAAAAGGGACCCCACCCCAGGAGTCTGTCTGGAGATCGGCAGAGAGACCAAGTGCAAGAAAAGGAGACAGAAGCAGGGGAGTGGGGGTGGGGTGGGGGTGAGGAGCAACTCCTGAGGACCCCCAGGTGAGGACCTCCACTAGAGCCAGGCATCCATTTTCCACAAGATACAAATTATTCCCTTGTCAGTCAGTTCTGACTTCTTGCATTTACTCAAAGGCAGGAGCAACTAGACTGATTCACCTCAGAGGAATCCCTTCAGTTGCCTCCACATTTTGCATCACAATCTTCCTTCTAGGAGAGCTAGAGGCTGCTTCCTCCTCCTCCTCCTCCTCCTCTCCTTCTTCTTCTTCCTCTTCTCTCCACCTCCTCCTCCTCTGTCTTCTTCTTCAGAAGATATCTCATGGTTTGGTACAGTTCCACCCTGATTCCTAGGAAGACTCATCCATGCTTGCTCAGGGAACATTTCTCTTCTTCTGACCTAAAAATTTTGTAACTAAACAATGTATTTGCTTTATAGGATTTGCTAGCACCTCATTAGCACAGGCAGAACTTGGCAGAAGACCAAAGGGTTCCTTCTGATCTCTTAGAGGCTTCCTGAGAGCACAGATGGATGAGCAAGATTCAGCTGGAGCAGGAAGAGGCCATGCCATCCAAACTGGGAGCAATGGGGGATTCTGGGAAAACTCTGGGCAGAAGATCCTGGGTGAGGAGGACACCCACTGCTCAGAGGTGCAGAGCCAGCAGTTGAGGCAGTTCTGCTGCCAGGAGGCCAAAGGACCCCGAGAGGTTTGCAGCCGACTCTACCACTTTTGCCACCAATGGCTGAAGCCAGAAAGGCACACGAAAGCTGAGATGCTGGACCTGGTGATCTTGGAGCAGTTCCTGGCTGTCCTTCCTCCGGAGATGGAGAACTGGGTGAGGGACTGTGGAGCAGAGACCAGTTCCCAGGCAGTGGCCCTGGCCGAAGGTTTCCTCCTGAGTCAGGCAGAGGAGAGAAAGCAGGTGAGAGAGACTTTCCTCTGGATACTCCCAAGGGGCTCCAAACAGGATTGAGAACATCTCATATAACTCTATTGATGGCCCATCCTTTTTCTTGGAAGACAATCCATAGAATGAGTTCTAACACTCTTTAAGTCTTTGTCATTCTCCTTCTAACATTTCTCACCATTCATTCTCTGTTTTGAATTCTTGTTGCTCTTTCAGGAAATGGATCATTTTGCAGAAATTGACCAGGATACCTGTGAGGCAGAGAGGCCTCCGTTGGACACCAGAGGGAGGCCACTGGGTAAGGAGGAAGGTGGTTTTCTCTGTTTGGAGGCATTCGGAACCAAGGGTCCAGAGGCGGGGAGGTGTATTTTTATACAACTAACATATGAAATGGGCACAAACGTCGAAATGCACTCAGCAGGTACGGCTTTCTGAAAGGCCCATCTGTAGTTAGAGATGCCCCGTTTCACCTTTGATAGAAGTAGGCACTCCTGGCATCCTGCTTACCTTTTTTCTCTTGCAGGTGACAGAAGGATGCCGGCAAAACCTCCTGATCCACCTTTTCATGGGGGCAGAAGGGAAGCAGCGGCTGTGGAACCAGATCAGGTCAGGGGAAGCTGCCTTGTGGGGACAGAGGCTGAGGGATGGAGCAATGTCATGGACTGGTTGGGCACAGAGGAATGGTGGGAGGAAGCAGCCAGGGAACCAGGAAGGGAAGATGGCTCTGAGCCCAAGGAGTGGAGGTGGAGGAAGGATGAGCGGTCAGAGGGAGAAGAGGGAGAAGCCTGGGGAGAGGAGGTGTCAGAAGCTGAAGGGGTAACAGGGCTTAGTGAGCTGGGAGACTCTGTGGCAGAATGCAGTGCAGAATCAGAGGCAGAAGAGGAAGGAGGCGAGTGGGAGGAGGGAGGTCGAGAGGCAGAGGTGAGTCAGGAGAAGGAGGAGCCACCGGGGGCTCCCTCTCCTTCTGCCAGAAGCCACCCTCCCTGCTTGTCTCTCAGAGCCAAGAGAGGTCTAACATGGAGGAGTAAAGGCAGTCTGCACACTGGCGCACTGTTGGATTGCTTGCCAGAAACCCCAGAGAGGAGGGGACTTGGAAAGTTGTGGGGAGCCGGGGGCCTTCACTCTCTTCAAACTTTGCACTATATAATCTCACTTTTCATATATCTCCACCTAGACAACTAGTCCATTAATTGATTGAGAGTGCAAACTGACAGACCCTCAGGGAATGAGCTGCTCTTCTCATTAGGCCTGAAACTCAGCCAAGTCTGTGAATATCGTGTTCTTGCTGATAAAGAGTTAACTCCAGCTGTGAACTGTGGGACTCGTACTCTCACTATCTCTGTTTTCATTCTTTCTTGATCCCTTTTAATCTCTCAGTTCTCTTCTTTCTTTCTCTTAACTGTCTCCTCCAAAGCTTGGACTGGTTTTTCCAAACCATTAGTTTTACTGGATAGGGTTTTGATTTCTGTTGTCAATTTGTCCATTTTTTTGGTGTTACAGTATGAGAAACACACAGTGGAATACTACCTATCTGCGCAAAGATGAATACCCATAATTAAAATGCAGAATAAAAGAATTCCATTAAAACATTAAAATAGGCATCCATAATAAAAGTGTGCAGCAAAGCAATCCTATTGAAACAACACAGCAATTAACAGGAAGGAAACAACAGAGCATTGTGTAGCAGGTCATATTTCTGCTGTCTCAGAGGAGGACATTTCCCTTTTTCTTTTAGGGTCCAGTGTGCTTTGAAGATGTCGCTGTTCGTTTCACGGACGAGGAGTGGGAGTTGCTGGATCCTGACCAGAGAGCTCTGCATAAGGACGTCATGGAGGAGAATTGGGGGATCGTGGCCTCTCTTGGTAAGGATCCCTGTGGGATCTTAATATCTGACTGAAAATTTTAAAAATACCTGTGTGTGACGAACCTCATATATTTTCACAGAGCTCAACAGCGCCCCCTACAACACCTGGGAACCTAACACCCCCACAATAAACCTTGAACAGTAAATTACTTATTTTTCTGTGAGTCTTCCTCCAGTTCTGCCTTTTTATACCACAATTGGGCTGGTCTGAACTGCCCAGGCATCTTAAATGTCAGCTTCAGAGTTGTTAGGAAAGATAAGTAGCTTCTGTCAGGTTTTCTGTTTTTGTTTTTGCTGCTGTCGTTCTCTGGTTGACCAAAGCGACTACTGACATTGGAGAATCTCAGGTATTAGTAGCAGTGATGATGATGATGATGATGATGATGATGATGATGATAATATTTATTTATACCATGCCCATCTGGTTGGGTTTCCCCAGCCACTCTGGGTGGCTTCCAAAACATATAAAAACATGAAATAACAAAATGTGATCCAAAAAGGAATAAAAGAAAAGAAACAGAAATATTGGAGATAAGCTAAAAGGAAAAAGAGGTATTAAGAAACCCAGACAACAAAACAATCAAACAAAATATCAAACTGCTACAAACCAAATTTGCTACGCTAATAAATCAAGAAGTGGAATGGAATATTAAAATATTAAAACATAGAAATTTCGAGTTTGCCAACAGACCAGGAAAACTACTGGCTTGGCAACTCAAGAAAAGGCAGTGATAGGATTATAAACAAACTGAAACTGGGAAACAAAATAATAGATGAATCGAATGAAATATGTAATTTTTTTGTAAGTTATTACAGAGAATTATACCAAAAAGAAATGGAAAACCCGGGGGGGGGGATGAAGAATTTTTAAAACATAATAACCTGCCAGTAATTCTGAGTGGGGGAAAAATCAAACACCAATTACAGCCATAGAAATCCAACAATACAAATGCGAAATCAGGGAAGTCGCCCAGTCCAGATGGATTGTCAGCCTGCTATTATAAGTAGCTGGAAGAAGTCCTATCACAACCTTCAAAACATGTAATGAATGATATACTAGCCAAATGGAAAACACCAGAGACATGGAAGGAAGCATTTATAACACTAATTCCCAAATGGGACAGATCTAACACTTATTTCAAACTACATACCAATTTCATTAATCAGTAATGATTACAAACTTTTCGCATCCATCTTAGTGGGAAGATTAAAAAAGACCCTGAGAAAACTAATCCATGAAGACCATGTGGGCTTTCTCCCTGGATGACAATTAAACAGCAATATAAGAAATATTATCAATATATTGGAACACCTAGAAACCAGAAATGACAAACCAGCAGTTCTCATGTTAGTAGATGCAGAAGAGGCATTTGAGAATATCTTGTGGAGCTTTATGAAAACACAGATTACGGTAACTTAATGGGATTTGGAGATACTTTCTGCAGAGGAATAGAGGCAATCTATTTGAAGCAGAGAGCAAAACTTATTATAAACAGCAACATCACAGATAGCTGTAACATAATGAAGGGGACCAGGGAAGGGTGCCTTCTGTACCCCCTGCTATTTATCTTAGTATTGGAAATCTTGAACTGAAAAATAAGAGATGAGAGGATAAAAGGTATAGTAGTACAGGGAAAATATTACAAATTAAAAGCCTTCGCGGATGACCTAATAATAACAACAGAGAACATGAAATAAAGCCTAATTTAGAACATTACAACTGATAAAAGAATTTGGACAGGTGGCAGGATTCAGTTCTTCCTCTACCACAAATTTAATTAGCATTATTTCATAATTGCGGGCTCCATTTCTTCCCGAGGCTCTAATCCCTATTCGTCTCCATTTCAGATTCTGAAGAATTGGAAATCAAGGATGACCACGACAAAATCTATAGAGTGGAGAAGTCACGTAAAAATGTGGTGTGTGGAAAGAGCTGCAGTCAGAGCTCCCATTCCACTTCCCAGCAAAGAATTCTCATTGGTAAGAAACCCTATCAGTGCGTGGAATGTGGAAAGTGCTTCAGGGACAACTCCAAACTCACTTCCCATCAGAGAATTCATACAGGGGAGAAACCCTATCAGTGCAAGGAATGTGGAAAGAGCTTTAGTCAGAGCTTCTGTCTCACTTCCCATCAGAGAATTCATACAGGAGAAAAACCCTATCAGTGCTTGGAATGTGGAAAAAGCTTCAGTCGCAGATACTCTCTCACTTCTCATCAAAGATTTCATACAGGAGAGAAACCCTATCAGTGTGTGGAATGTGGAAAGAGCTTCACTACCAGCTCCTATTTCACATCCCATCAGAAAATTCATACAGGAGAGAAACCCTATCAGTGTGTGGAATGTGGAAAGAGCTTCCGTGACAAGCGCTCTCTCTCTTCTCATCAACGAATTCATGCAAGGGAGAAAACTTATCAGTGTGTGGAATGTGGAAAGAGCTTCAGTACGAGCTCCCATCTCACAGACCATCAAAGAATTCATACAGGAGAGAAACCTTATCAGTGCATGGAATGTGGGAAAAGCTTCAGTAGGAGCTCCCATCTCACTTCCCATCACAGAATTCATTCAGGGGAGAAACCTTATCAATGCATGGAATGTGGAAAGAGCTTCAGTATGAGCTCTTCTCTCAGTTCCCATCAAAGAATTCATACAGGGGAGAAACCCTATCAGTGCATGGAGTGCGGAAAAAGCTTCAATACAATCTCCCATCTCAATACCCATCAGCGAATTCATACAGGGGAGAAACCCTATCAGTGCGTGGAATGTGGAAAGAGCTTCCGTCGGAATACCGATCTCAGTTTCCATCAAAGAATTCATACAGGGGAGAAAGCATATAATTGCTTTGAATGTGGAAAGAGCTTCAGTAAAAGCTCCCATCTCAGTACCCATCAAAGAATTCACAGAGGGGAGAAACCATATCAGTGTGTGGAATGTGGAAAGAACTTTAGTCAGAGTGCCCATCTCACTTCTCATAAAAGAATTCATACAGGGGAGAAACCCTATCAATGCATGGAATGTGGAAAGAGCTTCAGTAAGAGCTCCCATCTCAATACCCATCAACGAATTCATACAGGAGAGAAACCATATCAATGCATGGAATGTGGAAAAAGCTTCTGTCAGAAGGCGAAGCTCACTTTTCATACAAATACTCACAGAATCGTGAATCACAGAATCACAGAATCATAGAATTGTGGAGTTGGAAGTGATCCCTGGTATCATCTAGACCACCCCATGCAAAGCAGGAATCGCAACTAAAGCATCAATGACAGGTGACCATCCAACTTCATAAAACCTCAAAGGATGGAGATTCCAGCACCTTCCAAGGGATTTCATTACACTAACAGCTCTTGCTATCAAAAACTTCTTCCTGATGTGTAGTGTGAATCGCAGTTCTGTTCACTTGAAGCCATTGGTTCGTGTCCTACCCTTTGGAGCAGAAATAAACAAGCTTGCTCCATCTTCTTTTTATTATTATTATTATTATTTATTTTGGGTATATATTCTATTTATTTCCTTTTCTGACAATATCCCACATCAACAAAGCATAAACGAAAACAATACAGCAAAGAAGAATCTTTCCTTTCAAACATTTTAAATAAGTGACAAAAAATCAGAAATCTCTTTTCCTGGTTCCTTTTAACTCTGATTTGTTCATTCTGATGCTCTGGAATGCCTCTCAGATGTAGCATTGTGTCATTTTGTTTTAATTCCAGAAGTGCAATATTATTTACTGTATCCTTCTGAGTTTCTCTTACTGTGGCTAGCTCTGTTTTCATTCTATCTTGATCCCTTTTTATCTCTCAATTCTCTTCTTTCTTTCTCTTAACTGTCTCCTCCAAAGCTTGGACTGGTTTTTCCAAACCATTAATTTTACTGGATAGTGTTTTGATTTCTGTTGTCAGTTTGTCCATATTTTTGGTGTTAGGGTTAGGGAAACATGGAAGGTGCCTAAAGAAGCCAGGGTGGCTATCTAAAGAACTTTTAACTGAGTTAAGATTAAAAAAGGATGTGTACAAAAAATGGAAAAGGGGGGAAACCACCAAAGAGGAATAAAAACAAATAGCCAGCACGTGTAGACACAAAGTCAGAAAAGCTAAAGCACAGAATGAACTCAGGCTTGCTAGAGAGGTTAAAAGCAACAAAAAAGGCTTTTATGGGTATGTTCGTAGCAAAAGGAAGAACAAAGAAACAGTGGGGTCACTCAGAGGAGAAGATGGTGAAATGCAAACAGGGGACACAGAAAGGGCTGAACTCCTCAATGCCTTCTTTGCCTCAGTCTTCTCCGATAAAGAAAACAATGCCCGAACTGAAGAATTTGGAGCAAATGATTCAGCAGAGGAAACACAGCCCAGAATAACTAAGTAGATAGTACAAAAATACTTGGCTAGTCTAGATGTATTCAAGTCTCCAGGGCCAGATGAACTGCATCCAAGAGTATTAAAAGAACTGGCAGATGTGATCTCAGAACCACTGGCAGTCATCTTTGAGAATTCCTGGAGAACAGGCGAAGTCCCGGCAGACTGGAGGAGGGCAAATGTTGCCCCCATTTTTAAAAAGGGGGAAAGAGAGGACCCAAATAATTACCGCCCAGTCAGTCTGACATCAATACCAGGGAAGATTCTGGAGCAGATCATTAAGCAAACAGTCTGTGAGCTCCTAGAAAGGAATGCTGTGATCACCAATAGTCAGCATGGATATCTGAAAAATAAGTCATGTCAGACTAACCTGATCTCGTTTTTTGACAGAATTACAAGCCTGGTAGATGAAGGGAACGCAGTGGATGTAGCCTACCTTGATTTCAGCAAGGCATTTGACAAGGTGCCCCATGATATTCTTGTAAAGAAGCTGGTAAAATGCGGTCTTGACTATGCTACCACTCAGTGGATTTGTAACTGGCTGACTGACCGAACCCAAAGGGTGCTCATCAATGGTTCCTCTTCATCCTGGAGAAGAGTGACTAGTGGGGTGCCACAGGGTTTTGTCTTGGGCCTGGTCTTATTTAACATCTTTATCAACGACTTGGATGATGGACTCAAGGGCATCCTGATCAAATTTGCAGATGACACCAAACTGGGAGGGGTGGCTAACACCCCAGAGGACAGGATCACACTTCAAAACGACCTTGACAGATTAGAGAACTGGGCAAAAACAAACAAGATGAATTTTAACAGGGAGAAATGTAAAGTATTGCACTTGGGCAAAAAAAATGAGAGGCACAAATACAAGATGGGTGACACCTGGCTTGAGAGCAGTACATGTGAAAAGGATCTAGGAGTCTTGGTTGACCACAAACTTGACGTGTGACTACAAGAAAGAAGATTCCACCTAAACATTAGGAAGAGCTTCCTGACAGTAAGAGCTGTTCGACAGTGGAATTTGCTGCCAAGGAGTGTGGTGGAGTCTCCTACTTTGGAGGTCTTTAAGCAGAGGCTTGACAACCATATGTCAGGAGTGCTCTGATGGTGTTTCCTGCTTGGCAGGGGGTTGGACTCAATGGCCCTTGTGGTCTCTTCCAACTCTATGATTCTATGGTGTCTCTCCCACTGTTGCCTTGGGGAATATTATTTTCTTTTCTTTCTCCTGTAGTAACCTATGTTATCCATTTGAGAACCACGATATTGTTCTTTTTCCCTCCTTATCACAGTCTTTGAACTCTAATACTTTGAAGGAGCAAGGTTTCAATTCCATTAAGTGAGGCAGCTCATCCTCTATTAACATACAGTCTTTTTGTGTTTTTCCCCCCTATCTGTATAATTAAAGATTCACAGAAGACTCCGTAACTGCTTGCTTTCTCCCCCCTCTGGCAATTTTGCATCCTCTCGACTGGATATATAGTTCTGGGTGGGTATTTATCTCTAATTTTTAAATTGTAACAATTGTAACGATTTTGTTCTTCCTTCTCGTGTTTTCTCTCCTCCGTGTCTTCGCAAGATGTTATGCTTTACCTTGGCTTTTTCTGCCAGTTTTTTTGCACATGCTTCTTTTCCCAATTCTCGAGAGGACTTCCCTTTTTCTCTCTGGAACTTAGCCAAATTGGTTCTTCAATCTTTTCTTCCATTCTACCTTTTCTTTGGCTTTTCTCCTTTTTGGGAAAGCTTCCCACTCCAGCGAGGGTTACAAGACTTTTTGCCGTTGAGGCAATATGACCCAGTGCCGTGGCTCGACCTTCCGGCGCAGAGCTGCCACTTTGGGGGCGAGAATGGAGTTCGTTTCAGCAGGTCCTCTCCAGTCTCCGCAGCTTTCCCCAAGGAGGTTTGGGGACACAAAGCATCTGTGGAACCCCCCAGTCTCTAAACATGGCAACGGCACTCCCTGAAGAAAGTCACTGGCTCCTTCTTCCCCTTCATGGCAAACTGAAAGTCTGTATATTGTGTTTTTATATTGTGCTTGTATGTTGTAACCGCCCTGAGACTTGTGGGTATAGAGCGGTATACAAATTCAATCAATCAATCAATCAATCAATCAATGACAAACTGGGAGGGGCAGCTAATGTCACAAAAGCCAGAATTGGGACTCAAGATGCCATTAACACAGGGGTAGGCAACCTAAGGCCCAGGGGCAGGATCCGGCCCAACAGCCTTCTCAATCCGGCGCATGGATGGTCCAGGAATCAGCGTGTTTTTACATGAGTAGAATGTGTCCTTTTATTTAAAATGCATCTCTGGGTTATTTGTGGAGCCTGCCTGGTGTTTTTACATGAGTAGAGTGTGTGCTTTTATTTTAAATGCATCCCTGGGTTATATGTGGGGCGCAGGAATTCATTCATTATTTTTTTCAACATATAGTCCGGCCCACCACATGGTCTGAGGGATGGTGGACCAGCCCACGGCTGAAAAATGTTGCTGACCCCTGCATTAACAGATTGGAGAACTGGGCCCAAGCTCAGAAAATGAATTTCAATAGACAGAAAAGTGAAGTTTTGCACTTAGTAAGAACCAGATGCACCAATATAAGATGGGGGTTTGATGGACAGCAGAGTCTGGGGATGCAGTGCCTGAGAATTCCACCAGAGGGCCAGAGCCTCTTTTTGATTGGCTACCCAGAGGGGGATGGAGCCAGCACTTTTGGAGGGAAAATAAAGAGAGCTGTTTCTGTGGGAATTTTTAGAAGGGGCTGGATTTGAGATGGGAGAAAGGGATGGTTGAGAGAAGATCATAGAATCATAGAGTTGGAAGAGACCACAAGGGCCATCGAGTCCAACCCCCTGCCAAGCAGGAAACACCATCAGAGCACTCCTGACATATGGTTGAGTCAGGACATAGGGATGAGAAGAGGGGTTGACGGAGGATCTAGACACATCAAAGAAGCACTTCAGTTAAAGGAGTTGTAAATTCAAACAGGGAAAACAGGTGGAGAAAAACGGGACTCCACAGTGCCATCCAGTGCCACAATATTATATTGCATATTCAATGCTTATCAGTCGCTTTTTCTTTACCAATCTAGCTGAGTTCGCATGGAAGAATTTGGGTGGGGAGTCAGGACCTTGGCCCAAAAAGCAGGGTTTCCCCTAACCTATCCCATTTTCTGGGTGGGGGTGGGGTGGGGTGGGAGCACAGCCACCCAGCTAGGTTTAGAGGACAGGGCCAAGGAGTATAGCCAGGCATTTGAATGCAGATGCACCCAAAGCCTTCAAAATGTGCACTTCCCTCCATTTAGCAACAGAGTTCCCCAGCTCAGAAATGTGTACTGGGGTCAAGCAGGCATCATCAACATTGTCTTTTACTTCAGCTCATAACATTTATACACTGCTTGATTTTAAAAGCAGAAGCCACCACACAAAAAAAAATCAAAACCAGAACAGAGTCCTTAAGAATGGAACAGAGGTTGGCTGGCACATGGTGCATCAGGAGGAAGGAGGGTGAGTGCCTTGCACGAGTGCTAATCTTTCCACTAGCATAATTTACTTGAATTACGACCCACTACTGTTTTGTGAGGGTCGCAGGTAGCGCTGTGGGTTAAACCACAGAGCCTAGGACTTGCCAACTAGAAGGTCAGTGTTTCGAATCCCCGCGACGGGGTGAGCTCCCGTTGCTCGGTCCCTGCTCCTGCCAACCTAGCAGTTTGAAAGCACGTCAAAGTTCAAGTAGATAAATAGGTACCGCTCTGGTGGGAAGGTAAACGGCGTTTATCTGTGTTGGTCTGGTTCGCCAGAAGCGGCTTAGTCATGCTGGCCACATGACTCAGAAGCTGTATGCCGGCTCCCTCGGCCAATAAAGCGAGATGAGCACCGCAACCCCAGAGTCGTCCGCAACTGGACCTAATGGTCAGGGGTCCCTTTACCTTTACTGTTTTATGAGAAGTCAAGTTTCCCTGCCCACAGAGAACCAGTTGGTTCCAAGAAGTAGAGGGGCAAAAAGAGTGGCAGTCCAGACCCCCCTGAATGGCAGGTTCCTAAAAGGGAGAGTTGGCCAACAGGGCTAGTGAGAAGAGTTTGAAACCTTCTGTGGAAGAAGAGCAGCCCAGCTGCTCTCCCTGCCCTCTGCACAGACCCCTCTGCCCTGGGCTGCCCTGGCCCACATCTGCACAGAGGTGTAAGGATTGAATGAAAGAATCTTTCTTTGCGTCACTCATCGGCCATAGCAATAAAACAATATGATTTACAAAGAATATAGATTTTAAAAGTCCATTATCTAAAATACATTTTAGGGTTTTGACTTAATAGTCAAATAGTGGATCTTATTCTAATTGCCCCGGCTAAAAACCTTGCAACCTTTGCTGTCACCTGCTCATCTGGATCTGCCAAGAGAAAGGACACTGTGACAGTGGTTGGGCAAACCGGAATGGACAATAAGAGAGGGGTGATAACCTCATTCCTCTTTATAAAAAGTGCAAGCCAGAAGGACATGCGCCAGCGGTTTGCTACTGCCATCTCCACGGGGACATAAGCATTTTCCGTGTGGAATCTGCGGAAATCGTCCCTAAAGTCCAGCCAAGGGAAATACATTCAATCTTGCGAGAGTAAAAGCGTGTCTATATTTTAGAATCACTAAGTTATGCAGATAGGGTGCCAGAGAGTCGAAATGGGTGAGTGGAAAATAGTTGTACCATAGGCAAAATTTCCTTATTGTGGCCAAGTTGTTCTGGACTAGGAAGTGTAAGGAACTGAAAGGCAGCTAAAAACTGTTACCGGAAAAATCCGAGGGCTCCCTTGGACAAAAACAAAGACAACAACCAGGATAACTTGGAGCAAAACAGCAGCCTGTAGGCTTGGCCTTTATTGAACTGTTGCAACAGGGTGTTCCCCTCACTAGCAAGAGAGAGGAAAGACCCAGAAAGATGGTGTGCAAGACCTTATAAAAACTTTTGAAATTCCCATCCTCCAGGTCAAGCCCACCCCCAGAAACATCATGCATACATTACAGAAAGGAGGGGTTGACATCATGCATACATTACAGAAAGGAGGGGTTGAGGGAGGAGTTGTGGTGGTAACCTGAGTGTCCTGTCACCTGGCTGGTTCTTCCTTTCCCCTCCCCATGAGTCACTTCCAGAGGACAAAGGGGAGTTGGCAGTTTCCTGCCCCCAGAGGGAAGAGCTGATCATTGTCCTTTGTTTCAGTCTGTGGTGAATCCACTCCCATATGCAAGTTCTTTGTGATCTTGATGGTCTTCTGTCTAGGACCATCAGGGTTGGCATAGCAACTGGGCAGGGCTCCTGTGGATGTGCTGGGATGGTGAAGGGATTATGGCTGACCAGAACCAAGCCACCCCCCTTTGATAGTCCTTGTCACATGGAGTAAAATAAAAATGGAACAGTGCAAATCCGATGTATGGTTGATTTTTCTATGAATTTATAACAGAAATGTGGCGTATGTAGTGTGTGAGTGTGAGTGTGTGTGAAGTTTGTGCAAACAAAATGATTGGGGTGGGGGGTTCCTGCTACAAAACCCACAGCAATATTTACTGTGGGTAATAATATTTACTGAGACCTGCCTGGATGGAGACCTGAGAGCCACCTCTCAATATCTGGAGGGCTGACCCATGGAAGAGGGAGCCAGCTTCTTTTCTCCTGCTCTAGAGGGGAGCACCCAGAAGAAGGGACCCAGAGGACCAGAAAGCAGTTTCTTCTGACGGGAAGAGCAGCAGAATCCCTTGGGAGATGGCGGACTCTCCTTCCTTGGAGGTTTTTAAGCAGAGGTTGGATGCTTTGGCTGAGATTCCTGCCTTGCAGGGGGGCTGGAATAGATGACCCTTAGGGCTCCCTCCCATTCTAGGATGAGGTTCCTTGTTTCCTGCAACCCCCTTTTCCCTGCAACCTCTTCCTCCAGTTTCTGGCCAAGGGAGGGAGCGGATCACAGACCAACCAAGAGCGTCCCCTCAAAATGAGCATCTCTGGGATTCTGCAATGCAGGAGAGAAAAGGCAGAGAGGACTGAGCAGGGTGGACCCGGCTCTGCAAGGGTTAAAGGGAACAGAGCTGCATTCCTAGAGAGGACAGGAAGTAAAGGGGGGGCCAGGTCCTCCAGAGGAAAACCCCTCCCTCCCCTTCCTGCAAGCGGGGGGGGGGGTTGCTTTCCTCTGCTGCAAAGGCTGCATTGCTCTCTTCCGCGGGGATCTGGTGAGTCTCCTCTCCCCCCCCCCGAGGGTGCAGTGGGGAGAAAGGGGGGTCCCGGGGATGCAGCAGCGGAGGGTGGCTCAGGTGGGGGGGGCAGACCCCGGGAGGAGGGGGTCCTGCCAAGGAGGGACGGGGTTGCGCGAGGTTTGCAACTACAGTAATCTATATTCTGCATTTCTATACAGACGCTGCTTACTCCTTTGGGAAGGGCAATCCTCTCCTGGGATCTGGTGAGTCTCTTCCTCCCCCCCCCCAGGGTTCAGTGGGGAGAAGGGGGGTCCCAGGGCTGCAGGGGAGGATGGATCATGGGGGGGGGTGATCCCAGGAGCAGGGTGTCCTGCCAGGGATAGGTTTGCAACTACTGTACTGTATGTTCTGCATTTGTAGAAATGTGCTGCTTGCCCCTTCGAGGAGGTGTCTGTGGGTCAGGGGAAAAGGGGCACGCAAATAAACCCCCTTCAGATTTAGGAATCAGCCACGTCTATTAGCACAGGCTGCAGCCAGACACAAAGGTTTGGACAATAGATAAATGCTAGAAATGGAAAGCAACAACAATCCCGACCAAGGCAAGAAAGCAAGAAATCCTTTTGGAAGATGGAGGTGCCGAGTTGAACTGTGGAACTCCCTCCCACAGGAGCCAGGGAGGGCCACCAACCCGGGTGGCTTGGAAGAGGATGGGGCCAGTTCATGGAGGAGGAGGAGGAGGAGAGGGCGGTGGGGGCTCCTGAATCCCCCAGGAGGAGAGCTTGGCTCTTTGTGCTCCAGTCCTGCAGGGGCGCAAGGCAGGAGAGGCACCAGGTTGCCCTGTGGTCAGAGGAGGCTGGACGCAAGAGGGACCCTCTGGCCTGATCCTGGCTGGCACACTTGCGCCCATTCAGACATGCCAGCCCCCAGAGGATCTTTGGAGACTGAACACAAAGCCCTGCTGAGAATCAGGGAAGGTCTCACCATCCAAGGCAGGAGAGGACCTGCTGGGAAGGAAGCAAACCTGGGCTGGGGGTGAAAGAGGCAGCCCCCCCCCCCAGTGCTGAGAGTGGTTGGGAGACCCTCTCTCTCCATCCCGCCCCCCCCCCCCGACTGAGCTCCCATTCCTGGGGATCCCTGGGGCGGGGGTGTCTCCTGGCAACTCTCAGCATCCTTAGCAAAGGACAGCTCCAGCCTTTTTGGAGAAAGCCAGTACTCTTGGAAGTGGCCTGATCCTGCTGCGAAGATGCAGCTCCGGTTGGGTCCTAGGTGTGTTTGTTGCTTTTTTATTCTCTTTCTGGAATAACTTTCTACTGGGGTTTTGTATATCACAAAAAATAATACAACGTATTTGCAGCAAGATCTGCAACATATGTTTCACTACTAGTGGTCTGTGTATAGCTTCTGTCCTGGAGTGTCAACACAAGGGGGCTTGTGAAGAAGGCACAGCAGAGACTGTACTTTTTGAGAATTCTAAGGAAAAACCATCTTCCGCAGAAACTGCTGCTTGCCTTCTATCACTGTGCCATTGAGAGCGTGCTCACTTATGGCTTATGTGTGTGGTACGGAAGCTGTACTACCCAGGACAGGATGGGGTTGTGCAGGGTTGTTAAGGCAGCAGAGAGCATTGTTGGCTGCCCACTTTCCACCTTAGAGCAGATTTATGCCACAAGGTGCCATAGGAAGGCACTGGACATAGTAAAAGATCCATCGCATCCTGGTCACTGTCTCTTTGAGCTCCTGCCGTCGGGACGGAGATACAGGACGATGAAGACAAGAACGAGCCGTCTTAAGAACAGCTTCTTCTCCAGAGCGATCTCGGCCCTGAATGGGAAGCCCGGACTTTGAAAGTCATCTAATCTCCCTTGCTGTATTATACTGTATTGTTTAATTAGTGTTTTTATGGAGCAGTCAAGTAATTTCGTTGTCCCCGAAGGGGGCAATGACAATAAAGATATTATTATTCCTTCCAGTAGCACCTTAAAGACAAACTAAGTTAGTTCTTGGTATGAGCTTTCGTGTGCATGCACACTTCTTCAGATACACATTATTATTAGTTCGTGAGTTAGTTTAAACCAAAAAAGAAAAAGGGGAAATTAAAAAATAATAATTGTCCAGTAGCACCTTAGAGACCAAGTAAGTTTGTTCTTCTTATACAGTAAGCTTTTGTGTGCATGCACACCTCTTCAGATACAGACCTGTGTGTATCTGAAGAAGTGTGCATGCACACAAAAGCTTGTACCAAGAACAAACTTAGTTGGTCTCTAAGGTGCTACTGGACAATGTTTTTATTATTTTATATATGTTGACTGCGTCAGACCAACACGGCTATCTACCTGAATCTGGAAAAAGGGTAAACAGGACATTCAGAATCCCACAGTCAAACACATAGTCAAGAGCCCTTGTGGATGTGCTTGGCTTAAATAGGAGTAATAGTCATTTTTCCTCTTGGGGGCGAATGAAACAGGATAGCATGCTCGTCTGTTGAGGAACCTGGGAGAATGCAAATAGAATGCAATGATTTTTGTTTGAATTCAAATTTAGATCAACCAGATTGTGCCAAATGATAATGGGGAGAGTGTGTGTGTGTGTGTGTGTGTGTGTGTGTGTTCTTGGGCCTTTATTCTCCCCCCACACGAGCCTTAAGGGAACATGTTGGATCCACGAGTACCCCAAGATTACTAAGAAAAAGGGACCCCACCCCAGTAACCCCCCTCTCCCGTCTCCAGTTGCCTGCAGATTTGTAATGGTAATTTCCTGGGCAGAGTCAGGGCTGTGGTACAGTCCTGCCTACACTGGTTACTAGCAAGTCCCATACAAACTTGCTTAGGGAACCGTTTTTCTTCTTCTTATGGTATATCAGCATTATAACAGAACAATGTATTTGCTTTGTAGTATTTGCACAGGATTTGGCACAGACAGAACTTGGCAGAAGACCAAAGGGTTCCTTCCAATCTCTCAGAGGCTTCCTGAGAGCACAGATGGATGAGCGAGACTCAGCTGGCCTTGGAGCAGGAAGAGGCCATGCCATCCAAACTGGGAGCAGTGGGGGATTCTGGGAAAACTCTGTGCAGAAGATCCTGGGTGAGGAGGACACTCTCCGCTCAGAGGTGCAGAGCCAGCAGGTGAGGCAGTTCTGCTGCCAGGAGGCCAAGGGACCCCGAGAGGTTTGCAGCCAACTCTACCACCTTGACCAACAGTGGCTGAAGCCCGAAAGGCACACGAAAGCTGAGATGCTGGACCTGGTGATCTTGGAGCAGTTCCTGGCTGTCCTTCCCCCGGAGATGGAGAGCTGGGTGAGGGAGTGTGGAGCGGAGACCAGTTCCCAGGCGGTGGCCCTGGCCGAAGGTTTCCTCCTGAGTCAGGCAGAGGAGAGAAAGCAGGCAGAGAGAAAGCAGGTGAGAGAGACTTTCCTCTGGATACTCCCAAGGGGCTCCAAACAGGACGGAGAACATCCCATAATGCTCTACTGTTGGCCCATTCTTTTCCTGGGAAGGCATCCATGGAATAAGATCTAACACCCTTAAAGCTTCTGTCTTTGTCATTCTCTTTCTAACATTTCTCGCCATTCATTCTCTGTTTTGAATCCTTGTCGCTCTTTCAGAAAAGGGATCGTTTTGCAGAAATGGACCTGGATTCCTGTGAGGCAGAGAGGCCTCCGTTGGACACCAGAGAGAGGCCACTGGGTAAGGAGGAAGGTGGCTTTTCTCATTCTGTTGCTTTCCCAACTAATCTGTGCGTTCTTTTCATCTTTTTTTTGGGGGGGGGGGACAGTTGGGACCAAGAGTCCAGCGGAGGGGAGATGTATTTTTGCACAACTAACATGAAATTTGCACAAATGTCCAAATGCACTCAGCAGGTAAGGCTTTCTGAAAGGCCCATCTGTCGTTAGAGATGCCCTGTTACACCTGTGAGAGAAGCAGGCACTCCTGGCATCCTGCTTACCTTTTTTCTCTTTCAGGATACAGAATGATGCCGGCAAGACCTCCTGATCCATATTTTCATGGGGGCAGAAGGGAAGCAGCGGCTGTGGCACCAGATCAGGTCAGGGGAAGCTGCCTTGTGGGGACAGAGGCCGAGGGATGGAGCAATGTCATGGACTGGTTGGGCACAGAGGAATGGTGGGAGGAAGCAGCCGGGGAACCAGGAAGGGAAGAGGTCTCAGCCCAAGGAGTGGAGGTGGAGGAAGGATGAGCAGTGAAAGGGAGAAGAGGGAGAAGCCTGGGAAGAGGAGGTGTCAGAAGCTGAAGGGGTAACAGGGCTTAGTGAGCTGGGAGACTCTGTGGCAGAATGCAGTCCAGAATCGGAGGCAGAAGAGGAAGGAGACGAGTGGGAGGAGGAAGGTCGAGAGGAGAGTCAGGAGAAGGAGGAGCCACCGGGGGCTCCCTCTCCTTCTGCCAGAAGCCACCCTCCCTGCTTGTCTCTCAGAGCCCAGAGACGTCTGACAATGGAGGAGCAAAGGCAGGCTGCACACTGGCGCACTGTTGGATCACTTGCCAGAAACCCCAGAGAGGAGGGGGCTTGGAAAGCTGTGGGGAGCTGGGGGCCTTCTCTTTTGGCAGCTGATTTCATGGAGGAAGACCCTGTCATGGAATTCTACTCAGTATTGATCCAGGCAGAACTCCAATGTATAGTTAGCAGAGTAAAACCTAAACATGTTACAGGATTCCCAGAAATAGACCAGAGGCAATTGTATTTCATCCGGCGGAGCTTTAACTGCTACTGAAGGCAAATAAGCATAATGGTCACAAATCCAAAACGTTCAGGATTGGCCTGTGCATTCATGGACAGCTGTGAGTCCAAAATGACTCCCAGGCTGCGCACCTGGTCCTTCAGGGGCACAGTTACCCCATTCAGGACCAGGGAATCCTCCACACCTGCCCGCCTCCTGTCCCCCAAAAACAGTACTTCTGTCTTGTCAGGATTCGACCTCAATCTGTTAGCCACCATCCATCCACCAACCACCTCCAGGCACTCGCACAGGACCTTCACCGCCTTCACTGGTTCTGATTGGAAAGAGAGGTAGAGCTGGGTATCATCCGCATATTGATCAACACCCAGCCCAAACCTCCTGATGATCTCTCCCGGCGGCTGCATTAACAGGAAGGAAAGAACAGAGCATCATATTTCTGCTGTCTCAGAGGAGGACATTTCCCTTTTTCTTTTAGGGTCCAGTGTGCTTTGAAGACGTCTCTGTCTGTTTCACGGACGAGGAGTGGGCGTTGCTGGATCCTGACCAGAGAGCTCTGCATAAGGACGTCATGGAGGAGAATCGTGGGATCGTGGCCTCTCTTGGTAAGGCTCCCTGTGGGATCGTCCTATCTGCCTGGAAATTCAAAAAATACCTCTATGTAACAAACCTCATACATTTCCACAGAGCTCAGCAGCGTCCCCTACAACACCTGGGAACCTAACACTCCCACAATAAACCTTGAACAGCAAATTCCAGTTTTTTCTGTCAAAAATCTTCCTCCAGTTCTGCCTTTTTATACCATGATTCGGCTGGTCTGAACTGCCCAGGCATCTTAAATGTCAGCTTCAGAGTTGTTAGGAAAGATAAGTAGCTTCTTTTTTTTTTATAATAATTTTTATTAATTTTCCAAACATATATAAAACAAATAATAAAACAAAACAATACAAAACATACAAACAAATAAACACATATAATTTCTTAAACTTATTTTCATACACCTTATTTCGTGGACTTCCTCATACCTCCCTTTTTCTGCATCCTTATGTTGGCCCTTTCTCAGCAACCCTTAGTTCAATTAATTCGCTCATTTTCATTTTACATTCTTTAAAGTTATGATTTACAGCTGCAATTCTCTATTTCTTATAACCATAACATCTCAGCCATCGTCAATCTTACAACAGTCTTTAAGATATTTTTTAAATTTCTTCCAATCTTCTTCCACCGTCTCACTCCCCTGGTCACGGATTCTGCCAGTCATCTTTGCCATTCCCATGTACTCGATCACCTTCGCTTGCCATTCTTCCAGAGTGGGTAGCTGTTGCGTCTTCCAGTACTTTGCCAGAAGAATTCTTGCCGCTGTAGTAGCATACATAAAAAATGTTCTGTCCTTCCTTGGCACCAATTGGCCCACCATGCCCAGGAGAAAGGCCTCTGGTTTTTTCAAAAATGTCCATTTAAGGACTTTTTAAATTTCATTATAGATCATTTCCCAGTAGGCCTTTACCTTCGGGCAGGTCCACCAAAGGTGATAGAAAGTACCTTCAGTCTCATTACATTTCCAACATTTGTTGCTGGGCAAATGATAGATTTTTGCGAGTTTGACTGGGGTCATGTACCACCTATAGATCATTTTCATTATATTCTCTCTCAATGCATTACAAGCTGTAAACTTAATACCTGTATTCCACAACTGTTCCCAATCATCAAACATTATGTCATGACCTATGTCTTGTGCCCATTTGATCATAGCTGATTTTACTGTTTCATCTTGTGTATTCCACTTCAGCAGCAAATTGTACATTCTCGACAAGTTCTTAGTACTGGGTTCTAACAATTCTGTCTCTATTTTCGACCTCTCCATCTGGAAAGCTATTTTCCTGTCCTGTTTAAAGTATTTGATTTATGTATTTGGGGGCATTGACGTTCCCATTAATGACACAAATTCTGCCTTTTGCTGTCATACAACCCCAGATCATAACGCTAACTGAGTGTTTCACGGTCGGTGTAATGCAAGTAGGATGTAAATCTTCTCCGATTCTCCTCCTCGCGTATTTCATGCCCTCACTACCAAGCAAGGAGATTTGGGTCTCATCACTCCAAATAACACTGTCCCATTCTTCCGCTGTCCAGTTACCATGGGTTTTAGCCCAGTTTAATCTTTTCCACCTTGGCTTGAGAGATAATGGCTTTTCCCTTGGAATTCTAGCATTTAGATCAGTCCTTGCACTCAGCTTCACCTTCCATTGCCCCATGTCATCTTGTAAACACCCAGATGATTTTCTTCTGTCTTGCAGGCACAGACTCTCCATTCTTCGATCATCACTTGCTGTTGTGCACCTTTACCTGCCTTTACCATCTTTTCCAACATCAGGGTCTTTTCCAGGGAGTCTTCTCTTCTCAGGAGGTGGCCAAAGTATTGGAGCCTCAGCTTCAGGATCTGTCCTTCCAGTGAGCACTCAGGGCTGATTTCCTTCGGAATGCATAGGTTTGATCTTGCAGTCCATGGGAGTCTCCTTTTTTTTTTAAGTTTCAAAAAAATTTACAATAATAAGAAAATGAGTAAAAAAAAGAAACAAAGAAAA